TCGAAGATGAGATGGCTGAGTGTGTCTGGCGTTGTTTCTGCATCTTCTAATCTGTTCCACTGGTCCTCAAGCCTGTTTCTTTGCCAGTACCATGCTGTTTTTATCACAGTAGCTTTGTAGTATAGTTGCAGGTTGGGGATTGCAAAGCACAGAATTTTTGATAGTTTACATACAGGCATAACAAATTGAAGGACATTATGACAAAATTATAATACTGTAATCACATTTTAATAAGAGCCCCTGTGCATGTTCTGACAGATATCTCCATTCAGCCATGATTATCTACCGAGACTTGAAGCCCCATAATGTGCTGCTTTTCACCCTGTATCCCAACGCTGCCATCATTGCCAAGATTGCTGACTACGGGATTGCTCAGTACTGCTGTAGGATGGGCATAAAGACATCAGAGGGCACACCAGGTAGGACAGAAGGTTTGCTTGACCTTCTCTCCTCAGAATGGATAAGCCATGCTCATACTATGGGTTCAGGAGAGTCAAAAGAAGCACTGTGGCTTTTCACACTGTGAGCAGGTATTTGTTTTCTGAATAATGCTGACCATTCCCTTGACATTTTTATCATTTTATTTTGTTGGACCAAAAACAAAAACATTATATAATATCCCAGGGAAAAAACTGAGTAAAAAGGGGAGAATATTTGATGTCAAGTTATATTTTGAAAGTTAGATTTTAATAACCTTCAAATACTCTAGAGCAGTGGTGGCAAACCTATGGCACATGTGCCGCAGCAGGCTGTTTGTACCATTTAAAGCTCTAAAAGGTTCACCATCACTGCTCTAGAGGTATTAAATGTAAGACAAAGCTGTAATATAGGTACTGTTGGCACTTAGCTAAAAATGAAACCGAACATTAAGGTAGACAAATTCTTTTTCATAACTGAACTCAAAGAACTCTGAAAACCAGGATATTTTTTAATAACTAAACTATATTGATGTTGACTGTGATCTTTATTTCTTATACTCACTGTGAATGTGTGACATTTCACTTCAGAAACATAAACGTGAGTACATGGGGCTGGTCCTGACCCTACTGAGGGTTGATGTAATGTAGGCTATGTGCATCATTATTAGCTTTCCTAAAATTAGAAAGTATATATTCCTCAACACTTCTGGCTCCAACAAGAGTTGTACATAAAAGCTTTGATCTGGGTTTGTACTGGTTGCACTGTTCCTGACAGAACAAACACAATTTCTTCTTATTTTAGGTCGATACAAGGGCTTAGGGCTTTAAACACTGTATTTCAGTTTTCTTTCTTTGTAATTTGTACAGTGTTAAAACTTCCATGCTTAAAGATTGTGTGTTTCTCCATGCAGCCCTGCACAGGGAGATGAGTTACTGTGTAAAGTGAAACATGTCCACACTGGAGACCATTACATCTATGATCTAACATCATTTTCTTGTCTTTTAATTTTGATTTCTAGGGTCATCCCTAATCCCCCCCTTTTTTGGCTCTTGCTTCTTCTGATAATCCTGTCACTACTAGTGTTAACTGAGTGCACCCAGTAACAATTAATTTCTGGTGTCATCATATACTTTTGTGTTTCCATGGCCCTGCACCTAGCATGTGCTCCCCACCTCATTGTCTACCCTCTGGGAAACCCCAGCCCCACCCTGTTTCTCAGCTCCCCTCTACTTCTACTCAGAGGTTCATCAGAATCTCAAGTTCTGATTTGTAAGAAATAATCACAAGGCCAGCAATCTGTATAGATTTCTTATCTTTCAGATTGTAGTTTGGGCAGGGAATAAAAAATTGAGAGGTTGACATCGCTTTGGAGAGGATGGTCTTCAGTCAGCCTTTATCTTTGGTCAACCAGTGTGCTGGGAGGTATGTGTAAATAAGGTTGTAGGTGTCTTAATATCAACTTGGTGATTGCAGCTCATGCCTAGAACAGAAGTAAATGAGTTAGAGGACATCTCACTTGGCAAAGAGGTTCTAGTCTGTTCCACTGTCCCCCAACTTACGTGCTGAGATAAGCAAATGGCCTGAGATTTCCCAGGGTCCAATGCCTGATTTTATTTTTGCTCCAAATGCATTCTCCTTTTTGTTTTGCATGGTTGTGTTTTGAAAACATTCCCATAACCACATCAGAGTTTATATTTTAGCTGAGAGTGTCTCTAGGTTGTGTAACAATAAAAATAACTCATTTCTTGAGCACTTGCTGTGTGCCAGTTACATTAGAGACACAATCTCTTATCTCTGGGCCAGGTCTGAAAGTTTGCTGTTATTTTCTCATTTTTCAAACATGAACATTTAGACTCAGTAATATTCTGTCACGCAGTGAGTGGCAGAGATGATAGCTCAAGCTAAATGAAAATGGATTTCAGAGAGGTATTTAACTTTAAATCCTACAGTCTGTTTCCTAGACAACCTGTAACTCTAACATGTGCTCAGAATGACTTAAATATTCAATCAGTTATCAAAAAGCAAAACAAAACAACAGAACCATTAATAATAAGTAGAGTAGCAAATATTGTCAACTACAAGTTTGGGAAAACAAGTGCTGAGGATGGAATTGTAGAGGAAAAGTGGACACAGCCCAGTGATGCTGTGTTTGTAGATCTGCTTGCTGTCTTCATGGGAGGCTGAGGTGGGCACACAGCTTTTGCACTTCCTTTCTTGTCCACTTAGAGAGGACATTGCACCTCTCTGGGGACTAGTGAGACGTTTCTGGATTTGAGCTCTGTTACTTGCCTCAGTGGTCCAGACCAGCTAGCAGCCAGCTTCCCATACTGACTTTTGGCAATAAACATGGAGAAGGATCATGACACAAATACCCAGGGCCTGATCTGTGTTTTTCTACCCACTTTTTGCTTAGGTTACTTAATGTGTTGTATTTTTTTCTTGTTATATCACCAAACTTTTCTTTATTATTACTATTTTTATTTGTAGAGCACTTCCAGTTGTCTCAGTCCTAAACTCTACCTCAAATTTAAGTAATAATACTGGTCACCATTACTACCATCACCCAAACCCTTACTAAAGCAATTCTGAGAAGAAAATACTGCAGTTCCTCTTAAATGATGTGCCTTCTCTGTATCTTTTCCCTTAGATCTTCCTGTTAAGGTTGTATCTTTTAACATTAAAACTTCTTGAGAAACCAGAGACCTTATAATTGTTAAATTTTGTGTTGTGTTTTATATTAATCTTTCCTGCAGTGCCTTCATCCTGACTGTGCCTGTGAGTGTGGGTGAATTATGGTATCTCAGAGAATCCGTGAATAAGCACAGACCATTCTGGTTCATGAACAATGTTCCTGGCTTGTGCTTAGTTAGCCTTTTGAGTGGATTGATTATCTCATTTATACTTTATGACCCTCAGATTTAGGTCCTATTACCGTTCTTAGTCCACAGGTGAGGAAACTAAAGCTTAGGGAATGTTAACTATTTCTATCGGGCAGTACAAGATGCAAACCCAAGCAGCCTAAGAGCAGAGCCTCTGGCCCAGAGCCGTGACATCACAAGACCAAAGGCAGGAACAACTCACTGACAAGTACCACATTGCAGTGTGAGTCCATGTACATGAAGGATAAATATGGGGTGAGTGAGTTTAACTTTAAACTCCTTGGAGAGTTTCATCATTAACTCTACATGGATTTCCTTTTGAGAGTGACAGTCAATTCTGTATCCTGTGATAGTATATTGTTGACTGAAGTGAATCTGACTGATGGCTTCCGGTCTGTCAACATCCATATGACAGTCATTAGATGAATGAAATGTTACTCTCTGGATAAACACTGTCACCTGATAGAGGTTATGCAGCATACTCTACTCATACTTCTCTGACATTAAAAAACAAATAAAATACATGTTTCTGGGTACCATGTGAAATATACTCAGACTTAATTCATATATTTCTCATATTCTTGATCCATGGATCTTTATTTGCTCATTACATTTGTTAAAATTCAGGCTTCTCTGAAAAATTATTGCTAAAAATAGTTTTTATACAATGAGTCATATTTTTCTCAATTACTTTAACATTGTGATTGTTACAGTAATTCTGCAAGGGAAAATTATACTTTATGTATTCATTTATTCATGCATTTGGTAATACTTTATTAAACACTTACCAAGTACCAAACTGATTCCATTTAATAGCTTTGAGATGTTCATCAGTAAATTGTTAATGCAATCAAGGACAAGAGGAATTCCTTAAATGGATTTATAGAAGCATTTGAAAGAATATTATAACAGGCACTTCCTGAATGTATAAATGATATTATATTACCATACTGGGAGTCAGGTCAATGAAGACACGTACTTTGAAAGAGGAAGGTAAAAAGGTTAAAAACATTTCCATATTGAAGTAAATATTTCTTTCCATATTCACAATTATATTATTGTTTTCTGAATAATTATAAAAAAAATTCTAGCCTTTTGAGCAGCTCTCCTCTGTGAGTTAGAGCCTGGAGGAATAAAACCTGTTGGAAGGGATATGTGCATTGAATGAGAATTTAG